CTTTCATAATAATATATACGTATTAATTTCTACTATTGTAATTATCAATAGGTATAATCCACATGAACAAGAACTCTTGGTGTGGAGTGGTGGTGGTGTGTTAATAGTTTTTAGGAGTATAAAGGGGTCCTGAGACCACAAAGTTTGATGACTGCTGTTCTAGAGGAAGCCTAATGTTTATTTTTAGCACTGTGTACAGAAAGCAGTACAGCATAGCAGACAGAGGAGTTGTCTCTGAAGTCAGAAAAACTTGGGTTCAAATCCTGTCACAGGTGGAGATTTGCAACTGGGAAAAGCTGAGAGGACAATCTTGGCATCAGTCCAAGGTGAGTTCCTCCTGGCTCAGGTTCCCCATTGTGTTCCTTTAAAAAGGAATGTTTCCCACCTGGCTATTCTTTTTTTTTAATTTTTTTTTTTCAAATTTGTAGGCAATTGGGGTTAAGTGACTTGCCATGGTCACACAGCTAGTAAATGTCAAGTGTTTAGTCTGAGGCTGGATTTGAACTCAGGTCTTCCTGACTTCAGGGCTGGTGTTCTATCCACTGCGCCACCTAGCTGCCCTGCACCTGGCTATTCTTGAGTCGGATTGTGAGGTGGAATTGATAACCATGACTCTTATCTAAATTCAAACAGACCTAAGAATGTTTTATCCTGTCATACTAGGTATAATAATATTCATTCTTTCATTTTATATCAAATTTCTATAATCAGAGCAAGTGGTCAGTAAAAGATATGAGCACAATGTAAGTATATGTGAGATCTTACATACATACATACATACATACATACATACATATATATGTATACACATCTATATAAATTTATTTTTAATTTTCAAACAATCACCTCCATAAGCTTTTGAGTTTTAAAATTTTCTTCCTCTCCTTCCCCACCTCTTTCCCCAAGATGACATGCAATCTGATATAGGCTCTATGTGTACACTGATAGTAAACATATTTTCACATTAGTCATGTTGTGAAGAAGAATTAGAATAGGAGGAACCACAAGAAAGAGGAAACAAAACAAAACAGAAGAAAAAAAAGAGCAAATAGTATGCTTTGATCTGCATTCAAACTCCATAGCTCTTTCTCTGAATGTGGATAGCATTTTCCATCATGAGACTTTTGGAGAAGTCTTAGATCCTTGCATTGCTGAGAAGAGCTAAGTCTATCAAAGTTAGTCATCACATAATGTGGCTGTTACTGTGTACCATGTTCTCTTGCTTCTGCTCACTTCACTCAGAATCAGTTCATGTAAATCTTTTTAGGTTTTTCTGAAGTCTACTTGCTCATCATTTCTTATAATATCCATTACATTCATATACCACAACTTGTTCATCCATTCCCCAATTGATGGGCATCCCCTCAATTTCCAATTCTTTCCCAACAAAGAAAGAGCTGCTATAAGTATTTTTGCACCTGTGGGTCCTTTTCTATTTGTATAATCTCTTTGGGATACAGCCCTAGAAGTGCTATTGCTGGATCAAAGGGTATGCACATTTTTATACCCCTTTGGGCATAGTTCCAAATTGTTTTCCAAAATGGTTGGATCATTTCACAACTCCACCAACAATGCATTAGTGTTCCAGTTTTCCCACATTTGTCCAACATGTATCATTTTCCTGTTTTTGTCACGTTGGCCAATCTGCTAGGTGTGATGTTACCTCAGATTTGTTTTGATTTCCACTTCTCTAATCAATAGTGATTTAGAGCATTTTTTCATGTGACTGTAGATAGCTTTAATTTCTTCATCTGGAAACTGCCTTTGACCATTTATCATTGGGAATGACTTGTGTTCTTATAAATTTGACTTAGTTTTAGAAATTTAGAAATCTCATTTTAGAAATGTGATCCTTATCAGAGATACTGGTTGCAAAAATTCTTTCCCAGTTTTCTGCTTCCCTTCTAATCTTGGTTGCATTGGCTTTATCTGTGCAAACACTTTTCAATTTAATGTAATCAAAATTATCCATTTTGCATTTCATAATCTTCTCTATCTCTTGTTTGGTCATAAATTCTTCTGTTCTCCATAAATCTGACATGTAAACTATTCTTTGCTCTCCCAATCTGCTTATAGTATCAGCCTTTATATCTAAATCATGAACCCATTTTGACTTTATTTTGGTATAGGGTGTAAGATTTTGGTCTATGCCTAGTTTCTGCCATACTCTTTTCCAGTTTTCCCAGCAGTTTTTGCCAAATGATCTCGCTCTTTTCAATCTGAATATATAGTCCCAAACACCTGGGTAAATTAGTACTCCTGCTTGTCATCTGCCTGCCTGCATAGTCAAGTGAAAGATTAAATCCCTGGAATAGAACATTCTTTCTGAATGATATGAGAATAATTATACAAAGAGACAAGAAGTTTGTGAAACAAATTGCAAACACAATGTTGAATCACTATCCCATCCAGGGGTGGTGAGCCTGTGGCCTTGAAGCCACATGTGGTCTTCTAGGTTCTTGGGTGCAGCCTTTTGACTGAATCCAAGTTTTACAGAACAAATCGTTAAGGGGATTTATTCTGTGAGGTCTGGATTTAGTCAAAGGGCTGCACTGGTGGACCTCGAGGGCCACACATGGCCCCAAGGCTGCAGATTCCCTGCCCCTGCCATAGACTAATGCTGGGATACATCTGAACTATTATTATAAAATGCGTGTTTAAGATCTGAGTTATTCAGCCTAAAATTATATTCCTTTATTTATCTCGAACAACTTAGTAAATTGGTATTAGGCCTAGTCATCTGCCTATTAATTAATTACTTAAAGTGTCCTCCCAAGTCTTTTATTATAATTTTGTGTATGTATATATATAAAATTATAAAGTTAACCTCTTATAAGCAATTTTATTTGTATAACTATTGAACTTAGGGGTGGAAAGCTTTTACCTGCAAAAATGTTGTTACTTATATTTCCTCAATAACATCTAATACTCTTAAAGAAATTAGAATCAGAGTGGAAACTTTTGGGAAAGTAACAAAATCAGATAATCCTGTATGTCAAAAGCAAATAATAGTGTCTTGGGGCTCTCGGTTTCTTTCTCCTTAATTCTGGGGCCCGGCATATTAAACTTGCCTGTCAGATTTGCGTCTTCCAGACCACAGGCCATTCACTTATAGTTGATAACAAATAGTGAATACCATCCCGTATCAAACCATCATCCCCTGGATATGGCCTATGCTCGGTTCCAGGCAACCTTCTCCCCAGGAACCATGAAAACAGGGATAGCTCTATGCCCTTTTCAGCCTGAAGAAGCTAGAGAAGCTGAAACCTTCATCCCTTTTCCCAAATGAATTTGGGCCCCAGCTCTTTGGGAGGGGGAAAGAATGATGGAATCCTAATAAAGCTGCCCAAGCCCCAATATTCTAACTTCCTTATGGGCCCCACTGAACAGCAGGCCTGTCATGATTTAACCCCACAATCTAGCTTTAACCATACTACAGGCCCCCAGGCTCAATATACCACTGCCCCTAGCTATCCATTGCCCCCAGAACCAATTCATATATTTGAACAGGTGTGTCCTTGCATTCAACCACAATCACATCATCCATGTTAGCCCAAGACAGGACCACAATACCTAACTGTCCATCTTGACCAGACAGGACCACAATAGCCAGCCAATCAGAAGGCAGCATGACCAGGATGTTTGACCACTGAACCACAGAAGGGACCCCTCCCCTATCACCCAATTCCTTCCAAACTCCTCATGCCTTTTTAATATCCATAATTTCTATTGTGTAATCAGCATCATTACACTATAAAATTGCTTATCTTGTCTTACTAAATTGCTGGTTCCTTTTGGAACTTGGCCTGCTTCATGAGAGGCGTCAATCTCAATAAATGTCTATACTTGGATTAGAGGTGGTCTGACTCTGAATTCTTTGAGATGATCCCACCACAACACACATGAAACTGCAACAATACTACGACCATTGGCAATTCTCTTAGAACTATAAGCATGGTCGCAAGACTATAACTGAAGACATTGTTGATCTACATTGATGGAGAATTCCTCACTGGGAATTCCTCACATTAATGAAATTACAGGTTGGAACCAAAATGTAGCATGACAATTGAGTGTTGCACAATGGATCCGATCCTAGGCTTAATATCAGGAAGATCTAGATTTGAATCCCATCCCTGACATAAGGTATATGACCTCTCTCTGCCCCAAGTAATTTGCCAGGATTTATGAATAGATTAAATTAGAGGCTAAAACAGAATTAGAATTCCTTATCTTTTTACTTTCTTTTTGTTATTGTTGTTGTTTTGATAGGGTTCCTTGGAATGCATTTCCCATAAGAGAGAATTGAGGAAGGACTGAGTCTCACCAAAGTTAACTCATTCCTAGCTCAGACTGTTCCCTTTCCTTAGCAGCAATCTGGCTTACCTGGAGATGCCAGTGCTCTCTGAAGCTTGCTCTCCTGATTGGTGAGTCCCTGACCTGGATTACCATGTCATGAGGGGCCCTAGCCATTCTCACTTAACTCTTAACTCAATTCACTCCTTGGATTACTCCACCTCCTCACCAGCAAACTTTCCCCCTACACATTGCTTTTCCAGCTCCCCTTTATGTTAGAATATGTTTCTTAAAAATAAAGACTGCATTTTTTACTGTATTTGTAGCCCCAAGGCTTAGAAGTGCTGGGCACATGAAAAGTGTCTACTAAATGCTTTATTTGTCCCTCCCACTTCTCTGCTCCCCAATTCTGTTGTGCTTCACCTGACAGTAAAATCCTTACATTCTGACTCCCCAACATCTATCCTATTACTGTCCAAACTGTGACAAATAGGCTTCAATTTTGTTCTTAACTAGGTGAGACTCTTTCCAAGATAGCTATGAATCTAAACCTTGCCCACTAAATGAAAAACAACAGGAAAATCTCTGACTGTAAATAAATAGAAAACTTAGACAGAATTGAACTCTCACCAACTGCCTGAACTGGGCCTGTGGCTGTTGATAAACCTGGTGTGTTTTTAAGAAATTTTCAGTGACCTGTTAACAGTGAGTAAGGGACTGCACAGTCTAGCTGATGGAACTACATGTGCCTTAGAAAGCCTTCCTGCTGGCAGGCTGTAGTATGGATTTGACCTTTGCAGCTGTGGAATATGATGATAGAGAAAGTGTATTGTCACCATCAGCTGGCACAGCAGTGAAGAAAATAAATGATTTCTTGGAAACTACAGGAAAAAGCCCTCTTTAGAAGACCTATCTCTGACACAGGTAGAGTGAGACCATCTGAAATTGACAACCTATAAGTTGCAAAAGTTGATAGTGTCCAAGTCACCCACCCAGGGTGAGATTATTCTAGACAGCCACACTTTTTAATTAGCAGGGTTCTGGATTTGCAAGCAATAAGGCCAAATCTAAAGGAAATGTTTAAAAAAAAAGTTTGCCCTGTTTTTTCACAGCAGACTCTACATTACTTGAATAACAGAGAGCAGCAGAGCTGGGGTAGGGGTGGGGGACAGCAGGACATTTGAATTCCTGGGACAAATTTTGATAAAGTTCTAGCTTCTTCTGCCCTGCATTGGAAAATTATTTTCTTTGTGTATTACTGCTCATCAGAGGGTTTAAACTTTACTGTGATCATACAGAATTTCACTCAATGACAAAACAATCATTGATATGCCACAGAGAGCAGATTTTTGGCATTAAAATATGTGCATTTATAAAAAGTGGTATTGAAATGTTCTTCATTGTACCCATATGCTATACCCTAAGCACAGCTAGTCACAATAACACAAATTCATACATAAAATCACATGTAGTAGACATGAGTTGATAGGAAAAGCCTATTTTTCTCACAGTTTTATAGCCTGTGGTCAAGTGGAAAGAACATTGACTGAGGAACCAGAAAACCGAGGTTCAATTCCCACTTCTGATTTTGCTACCTATGTGGCCTGAGGTGAGTCATAACCTCCTTGGATCTCAGTTTCCTCATTTGTAATAGGAAAGGGTTGAACAAGAAGACCTCTACAAACCTTTCTAGATTGAAATCTGCTTTTTTAAAAAAAATTAATTTATTTTTAGTTTTCAACATACACTTTCATAAGATTTTAAGTTTTAAATTTTCTCCCTCTCCCTTCCACCCCAAGACAGCATGCAGTCTGATATAGGCTGTACATATAGATTGATATTAAAGAAACAGTTTGCCCTAATTAATAACATTTTTTTCTTTCCTGTTTACCATTTCATGCCTCTCTTGAATCTTGTTTTTAAAGATTAAATTTTCTGTTGAGCTCTGGTTTTCATCAGGAAGGTTTAGAAGTCCCCTCTTTCATTGAATATCCATCAACTCCCCTGAAAGATTATGCTCAATCTCACTGGGTAATTGATCCTTGGTTGTAGTCCAAGCTCCATTGTCTTACAGGATATCATATTCCAAGTCCTCCAATCTTTTAATGTAGAAGCTGCGAAGTCCTGCATAATCTGATTGTGGTTCCACAATATTTAAATTGTTTCTTTATGGCTGCTTGAGTATTTTCTCCTTGACCTGATAATTCTGGAATTTGACTACAATATTCCTTGGCATTTTCAATTTGGGATCTCTTTCAGAAGGTGATTGGTGGATTCTTTTGATGACTATTTTACCCTCTGGTCCTAGGACCTTAGGGCAGTTTTCCTTGAAGATTTCTTGAAAGATGCTATCCAGGCTTTTTTGATCATCGCTTTCAGGTAGACCAATAATTCTTACATTATCTCTCCTGGATCTATTTTTCAGGTCAGTTGTTTTTCCAATGAGGTATTTTATGTTTTCTTATATTTTTTCATTCTTTTGATTTTGTTTGACTGATTCTTGATGTCTTCTAGAGTCATTAGCTTCCATTTTCCCAATTCTATTTTTTAAAGAATTATTTTCTGCAGTGTATCCCCTCCCCAATTTAGCCAGTTGTATTTTTAAGGGTTTGTTTTCTATAGTCAATTTTTGTCTTTTCTTTTCCAAGCTATTAACTCAGTCACTTGCATACCTCTCATTTCTTTCCCCAATTTTTCTTCTACCTCTCTTATTTGACTTTAAAAATCCTTCTTGAGCTCTTCCAAGAATACTTTTTGGTCTTGAGACCAGTTCATATTCTCCTTTGAAATTTCAGATGTGAGTATATTGACAATGTTGTCCTCTTCTGAATTTGTGTTTTGATCTTCCCTTCCCTATAGAAAGAATTCATGGTCATTATCCCTTTCTGCTTTTTGTTAATGGTGTTTGCCTGTTTTCTGGATTTTAAAGTGGAGCTCTCCTGCTGGAGCATGGGGGGTACTGACCCAAGCTTCTTGTGCTGGGGGACAGGGACTTGGTCTCTGGCTTTGTGTGCTGGGGCATCAGGTACTGGCAGCTGGAGGCTATAGCATTGTGGCAGCTTACCTGGTGCTGACCTGGGGTCAGCAACACTGAAGCTCTTGGGGTGGCAGGTGGGGGTCTGGCCCCTAGCTGATGCCTGCTCACCTAGTTTCTCTGAAGCACTGGAAAGTTTGGCTGCTGGAGGAAGCCTGCCCACATGGAGTTGTGCTGAAACATGGAGAGGTTTGGCTCTTGGAGGATGACTGCCCACCAACACACATGGTAATTTTCTGACCTGGAATTCACCAGTTCCCCTGCCTGTGCCAAGGCACTTGGGGGGGGTGGAGTTAGAGGAGGTCCTGGTGTTGGTGCTTGCCTGCTCCACTACCCTAGGACTTAGGATCTTTTGATGGTTTGCTGAGGTAGGGCTTGCTGCTGGCTTGCTGGGATGCCTCCTACCCTGTATTGTTCCCCTTCCACCAGAGTGAAAGGGACCTTTCCTGTTAATCTCCCAAGATTCCTGGGCTAAAAGACTGCTGCACACCATCTTTCTTCTGGCTCAGCTATTCCAGGGTTTTTCCTGGGGTGATATTTTCTGGGTTTTTAGAAGTCAATAAGGGAGAGAGAGAGCAACTTACTATTTACTCTGCCATCTTGGCTCCTGGAAGTCACTCTAGATTGAAATCTGTCATCCTATGATCCTTTATGCAGAAAGGCAAGAAGTGAGAATCCCTGGAGAAGAATAGAGACTTCTGGGAGAGAAGTCATAAGATGCCCTAGGGCTGCTGGATTATGGTGATGAGAAGTAAAGGTCCTGGCTGTTGGATAATTACTTAGGTTTCTTGAGATATGAGGGAACTGCTGAAGCTGATACAATCTTCTGGCACTAGGGAGAGGCAGTGAGATCTAGAAAGCCCAGAACTGAGAGAAATAGGATGTAGATGGAGCATACAGATGATAGAACAAGGTTGAGATTATCTCTAGGGAAAACAAGTGGGCAGCTAGACAGATTTGTCTCTTCAGTAAGTTCTTCAACACCACTTGAAAAGGGCACTTCACCAAATGGTGCTAAGGATTTGCAAGGACTGACTAAGAGTTGAACTTGAGAGAAGAATGTGCTTAGCATGAAAGCTTCTATCTTTGTATATTCCATTACTAATTGGAAGGGGAATCCTATTTCTGTCTTTCCATGTTTGGTCATAAATTTGTTCTTTGGTCAAATGCTCTTTGGCATCATTGGTTATTGAAGGTGAACTGAACATAAAGAAAAGCTAGACATAGGCCAAGGCTATTGTTTCCAGAAATAACTTTTGAGTGGGGACATGCATGATCTATAATGATGTTATTGGAGAGAAATTCTTTAATATGTCACCTCCTGCACTTAGTATCTCTGTGACTTTAGACAAATCATTCAGCTTTTCTTAATCTTAGTTTTCTCATTTGTGAAAGGAGATGTAACACATCTCCTAGGGTTATTGTAAAGATCTAATGAGATAACATATGTAAAGTATGGTATAAATCTTAACATTATATAAATGTTAGCTACTACCATTTAATTTTCTTTTATGTACTTGTACCATCTTGTACTATCATTAAGTATGTATCTGTCATGCACACCTCTTCCTACTAGAATATGAATTCCTTGAAAACAGTGATTACATTTTATTTAGTCTTCAAATCAATGAAATGAGATAGCATGGTACACAGAGGGGGTCTTAGAGCCAGGAAGACCTAGGTTCAAATCCTGCCTCTGACACATACTGTGTGACACTTGTCAAGTTACCTCACCTCTTTGCAACACTCTAAGACTCTAAAATGCACAGAAGGTACAATCTGCATTTGGTAGAGAGTTTCCTCATCCAATAGTTCTCAAAATCAATAAAATCACAGGCCTAGTCTCTATTCCTAACACCCTAACTTGGTGCTTCTAAGTCTGTAAGCTTTAAAAAGGAATTATTATGTTTCCTTATTCCTAAGCAGTTGAAGGCAGCAGCAACTTGGTAATATGGGGTTTACCCCATCCCCTGCTTTTTATCTACCTGTTTGCTTTATTTTTCCTTTCCCTAATTCCTTCTCTGTTTTTTACCATAAGAAGGGGAAAACATGGTTTCAGGTTTATCATTTCCATATGAGAAACCATCACTGAAGATTTTGAGGGAAGGGACAAAAAAAAAAGAATTCTGTCTCCTTCTCTCCCCCTCTTCTCTCTGTCTCTTTCTGCCTCTCTGTCTCTGTCTGTCTCTCTCTTTCTCCTTCTTCTCTTCCCTCCCTCCCTCCCTCCCTTCCTTCCTTGATTCTTTCCTGCATCCTTAGCCAACCCCTGCACACGGAAGATATTTCCTTATCTGTCCCCTACACATTTTTTCCCTGGCTTTAGTTTATTCTTTTAAATTCTTCCTTTGTTCCTCTCCCAGAACATTTTCTGCATCCTGGAAGTGCTAAAATTATTTGCCTCTGACTGATTTCTCCATAATTCATTCCATTTGCCTGAATCATATTCTTGGTCAGGCCGAAGCCAAATGCACATTTCAAAGCAAATTGTTAAGGATGATCTTTTTGGTGAAACTTGTCTTCTTTACCTATTATTCTGAGCCTTCAATGTCTGAGCTTAATCTTGTTTGCAGCCATATGGCTTCGATGATGGATGCCATCTTTTTTTTCCCCCTGGGATGTTGTTTCTATTGCATCAGCTGCCCGCAGCACACAGGAGTTGACTCCTCATCTCTTTCTGTTTCAAATGTCACACTCCTTTGAAGTTGCTATGTGTTCTATTTCCTGTCTGAGGGGTACTTCTCCCTTTATTCCAGACTCAGCTAAAATCCCACTTTCTGCTAGAAGCCTTTCCTGGCCCACCCACTCAATGCCTTCCCTCCAAGATTATTTTCCTTTTATATATATCTTGTATATACATGGACATTTGTATACCACCTTCTCCACTGGAATGTGAGCTCCTTGAGAACAGGGATCATGTTTTTTGAGGCAGCTAGGTGGTGCAGTGGATAGAATGTTGGACCTAGAGTCAGGAAGGCCTGAGTTTAAATCAAGCTTCAGATAATTAATAGCTGTGTGAACTCCTGATCAGGCTTAGTCTGCCTCAGTTTCCTCATTTGTAAAACAGAGATAATAATAGCACTAATCTCCCAAGGATGTTCTGAAATTAAAATAATGTAACATTTGTAAAGTATTTTGTAAACCTTAAAGTGCTATATAAATGTTAATTTTTGTTTTGCCTTTCTTTGAATCCTCAGACTGACTTAATTATATTTCTCAGGTCAATTGCAAAACAGAGATGGTTGAGCTTCTGAACCCAATGAATGACTGAACTTTTCTCAACATAGTGAGATAATCAACAAAAAGGGATTCCTTGGTCTCACTGAGAGGGAAATTGTCTGAAATATCTAGTGTGACAGGCTGGAAATAAAGAAATGCTTACGGCATCACCTCCTCTGCACGTTAACTTCTTTCTATACTAGACCAGATACTGAGGTCCTTTCATGAACTAAACTGTCAAGCATTCAAACTCTACTGCAGAGAGCACAACTCCAATGGGCTGGCCACATTGTTCAAATGCCAAACATATGCTTCCCTAAAAGACTATTTTATGGATAATTCACATAAGGCAATAGCTGACATGGAGGTCAGAAAAAGTGATACATGGATACTCTCAAGGTCTCTCAAGAACTTTGGAATTTATTGTATTACATGGGACACACTGGCATAGGCCAATATGGCATGACTTCATGACAGGAGCTTGCTGTATGAGCAAAGCTGAATTGAAGTAGCTCAAAAGAAATGCGAAATGTGCAAATTTTGAGAATTCATCCCAAATGTTCACATAGATTATTTGTGCCTGACCTGTGGTAGAGAATTCTGAGCTTATATTGATCTGATCAGCCACAATCAGGCACACTGTAACTTGACTCTAACATAGTGATGCCATTTTGGTCCTCTTTAAGAACAAAGGGAACCAACCAGCCAACCAGCCAACCAGTCTTTGCAATGTCTTTCTTTCTAGCGGCCTCTCTTTGAAGAAAACCTAGACCCCTGTGTAGCCTCTCTCAAAGTCAGAAGCCAGAAAAGAAAAAAAAAAAACTCTTCTCCCAGACAATCGTCAACTCCACCCCTCACACAGGCACAAAGTCTGAAGTAATTACTCTCTCCATCTATGGAGACAGGCTTATGGAAATGTCCATACTTGAACTATAGATTACGTTATCACTGTCACTTCCCAGTGATTCCATTCCTTCTCACTCTCCATCTACAGAAACTTCTCTTATAAGGAAGAAGTATAGTCTAGCAAAACAAATCAGCATTAACACATTAGCCATGTTGGACAACGTATGCCTCATTCTTCTCTTAAAAGCCATCAACTCTATGCTGAAGACATGTTTCACTCAGTCCTCTGAATTCACAAATGGTCACTACACTGATCAGAATTCTGAAATCTTTCAATATTATTTCCCTTGTGAGTACTGTGGCCATCACGTAGCTGGTCTCCTGTGTCAGTTTGCTTTGCTCACTTTGGTTCATACCCAATTGGTTCTTCCCAAGTCTCCCTGATTTTGTCATATTCATCACTTTAAAAGGCATATTTATATTCCATCACAGGCATATGTCACAGTTGGTTTCATAATTCTGCAACTTATGGGCACCCACTTTTCTTCTACCTTTTTACTTCTACAAAAAGTGGTCAACTCCAATGCTCATGGACACCTTTGGCTCTGTGTTGAATTTCTGCAGCACATGTGTGTTCATACGAGGCCTTGATCTTATTTGGACTGATTATGTTCATCCATGTGGTCCACACCAATGAATTCCAACTCTTTGTACATCTTTAAGAGGATCAATTTCCATAGCACAATATTGGAAGGTAGTAGATTCCAGGCAATGCGTTCAAGGGCATTTGTAGGTTATGGAACTATAAATGTTTCCCTAAATACATATATATTTAGCATCATCTTCCAGACTTCTATTATATCCTCAAGTATGACTAGGTAAAATTGTTCTGAAAAAAATAACATTGCCAAATTGTCCAGGGCTGCTATCTGCAGAGGAAGGCCCCAGCAAAGGGACCAATGACACAATCCTAGGTCTCCAGTCCTTGCTATCCTAAGCTGTAAAGACTAAAATGATAGCAATATGGCAACACACGCTTTTGCTGACTCCTGCTTCTGCTAATCAGGAAGATGCACACATTAATATTTGTAACCACATCTTGACTAAATGAAACCTCACACATACATCAAAGCAAAATTTTTAAATGTGTATTTTTTTTTAATACGGTATATAGTGAGTGAGGACATAGCAGGAAAGGAAGGTATTAAGTTATTTTTATAGCTCTGAATTTACCTACTGCCTATCTTAACAATAATTTGCATACCATATTACAAATTATATATCACATATTGATACCAAAAGAAAATTTCCAAAAATGAGGGTTTCATTTGATCCTCACAGCAGGGCTGTGAAGAAGAGGTATTCCTGTTTAATAGTCAGGCTCAGTGAGGTTAATTAAGTTCAAGTCATATTTCTACCTTGGATAGAAGCAATTCTAGAGTCCAAGTCTTCTGGCTCTTACTACAATTCTCTGTCCATTACAGCAAGCTATCTTTTATATTTATTGTAGTCAGCAGGGTGCTTAGTCACCTACTAGGAAAGAGCAGAAACTATGCTTCTGGTGATACCCAAGCAACAGCAGATATAAATCAGAATTATGCCTTAGCCTTCTGTTTCAGTTTGGTTTATGTTTCGGTAAATTAGACTAACTCAAAATCACATCTGCCTCTGAAAAGGGCTGGGCAAGGAATCCATGTTACCTGGAGTCTGGCCAAGGTCCACATGAGACCCACCACGGTGGCTGATATTTGTGGTCCATGAGGAACTGGTCAGAGAATGGAATTTGTATCTAAAGGCAAAGGCACTATGGATCGAGTGTAAAAAGTGGACTGAGACCCTGGCTCAGGATGTTCCCCTTGTCTCCATTTGATTTTATGTAGATATGCTTTCAAATCAAATTTTAAAATATTTATTGAACACCTGTCACACGCGAGGCATAATGCTAGACACTTCAGTGAATACAGTAATATAAGTCAGAAGTGTCAAAGACATGTGGCTGGTAACACTCCCCATTGTGACTGAAACCAGATTAAAATGTGATTGACAAATAGTTAACAAAATAAGCAAAAATATAATAAAACATAGATAACATTACCTTTTAAAATGAAGTCAATAAGTGACCTAGAGGGAGCCTTATGTACTGATTAGTGACCTCTGTTTCTATTTGAGTTTGACAGTACTGATGTAATGTAGGGCTCCTGGCCTCAAGAAATTTCTAGTCTGCTTGGGGAGATAAGGCAGAAACAAGTTAAAAAGTTAAATAATACAAGATAGAAATGAGGGTTCAAGGTAACAGAAAATTTATCGCAAAATAATACACAAGGGAGTCATAGATATTGTTAAGAGAGTAATAAGGGAAATTGGTAAGGTGAGAGCATATGCTTACAGGCCTAAGTAATCAGGGGATGGTTTAGAGAGGAGGTGGAATATAACCTGAGCTTTGAAGGGGTGGAGAGGACCTGGACTGTTGGAGAGAAATCAATGTAATAGTGAAAGCAATGTCTCAGGGGCAGAAATACTCAAAATATCCTTGGGGATAGTGAATAAGTCAGTTTGACTATCATGCTCAGAGCTGTAGCTAGGAATTCTAGCACCTAGGCAAGCTCAGTGACTGAAAGTGGGGATGGGGATATGTCTAATGCAGTGGGTCTCAAATTTTTTCTTTTTTTTTCTCACAGAACAAAATTCTTTGTCATGAGGAACTGAGGCCCACCAAATGTTTAAATTTGATGACAAAAATGGTTTCTGAGCCTTGGACTTCCTCTACCTCTCCTAAACGCTCTCATTTTCCCCTCTATTTTAGCAGAGGAGGTAATTTTGTGTCTCCAAACATAGAACTGCTTTTGTTGACCTACTAGGAAAGAACAGGCAGCAAATTTCCAGGGAATGAGAGGTAGGGCTGGGGAATGTGGAAGTCTCAGGGTGTAGAGAGGATTTTTATGGCATGCCTAATGAAACACACTTGTGACTTGACACCACTTTAACAACCACTGGCCTAAGGCCACTTGGTTGAGGAAGATATCAACTAAAGTGTTCAAAGGGAGCAGATGCTGGGGTTGAGATGAAGAGTGTGAGCCAGATCTAAGGATCTGGCCAGTGTAGAGGCAATTTTCAAGGAGAAGAGCTGATTGGTAACAGGAAAGTCTGAAAGTATCAGGGGGGAGGAAGGAGTATGCTAACTCCTCTTGGCTCAGTGTGTCTGCCATTGTTTGTGTTGGTCATTCATTTTGAGACACACGAGGACCAGCGACGTCATAAGGCCCATGTCTTGACTTGGGTGTGATTTGTGTTTTAGTGAAACAGAAGGTATAGAGGCAGAGCAACTAGCTTTGGAGAAGGTATCAAGAGTTGGGGTGGAAGGAAGCTAGATTTCAGTGACTATCAGAAAATGGAAGGAATACGAAAAGAAGAGATTTAGGATGATGAGGGAGTTTGTCAACAATAAAGAATGGTTCCAGAGACCAGTGGAATGGGAGGTCAAAGAAGGATGGGGACTGGGGCGAGTTAGGACTTAACTGATAGTGGTAGCAGAAAATATAGCAGGAGATAAGCAAGGGAAAAGGGTTTAGAAGGTAGGAGATGATGGGAGGGAGGTAGGCCTAGCATAGACGTCTGACCTGAGTGTGGTCCTCTCTACCCCTAATATCCTTAGCCAGAAACTTCTCTCATTCTCTCCCAGCCTGCTTTTCTTCCTATACCTCTGAGGGGTTATGGGCCAATACAACACTTCGGGAGAAGGGAAGCAATTGAAATATGTGTGAATGAAAGGTAAGATTTTGGATTCTAGCCCTACTTTTGCAATGTGAACTTGAGTACGTCATTCTGGGTCTTGAGTTATTCCAGAGGACTGATGATGAAACAAGCAGAGAAGAGAAAGATTTAGGGTGCAGAATGAAACATGGATATTTTTGTGTACAGCCAATGAGGGAATTTATTTTACTTGACCACATATTTATTATAAAACATTTGCTTTTTTCTTCCTTCCTTCCTTCCTTCCTTCCTTCCTTCCTTCCTTCCTTCCTTGCTTCCTTCCTTTCCTATCAAGGGGTGGGAGTATGAGGGAGAGAAAATAGATTTCTGTTCATTTTAAAAATAGAGAGGTAAGGCTGTTATGGATGTGAAATGTTGCATGAACTTTAAGATTAGGCCTCCATATTATTAGTTTTATTTAACTATTTTACTTTGGTTTTTTTTAATATAAATTTATTTATTTTTAGTTTTCAACATTCACTTCCACAAGTTTTTGAGTTCCAAATTTTCACCCCATCTCCCCCCTTCCCCCACCCCAAGATGTCATGCATTCTGAATAT